CTTTTTAAAAAAATTTATTATTATTAAAAAATTATTAAACTAATTTTTAAAAATATGTTTCAATTGCTTTATAGCATTCTCCCATTATTAAAAATGAATAAAAGGATGATGTATTTTCATCAAGAGAAAGAAAATTATTTTGAAATGAAAATGAAAAATTTTTACCAAAATAATATATAACTTCTTTAGGAGTAATATGTGCATATAATTTACCACCTGCACTACAATCATTAAGTAAATAACCTATTTCCATAAAGATGGACAAACAAACAAACAGAAATATATGATAATGTATCAATAGTATTGACATTATCTACTAAAGCATGTTTTCCTCCTTTCAATTCATACATTACAATAATTTTGGCAATACATAATTGGTTTTCAGTAAAAATAAGTAAATAACCATTTCTATCTAATGGATTGATTTCTGAAATATTTGCACATCCAATATTAAAACCTAAATTAACAAAGATTTTTTTGCTTAATAAAAAAATTAAATGAATTAAATAATGAAATAAATTAATAAAATAAAATATCACCTGGCATATTATCATTGGTTCTAAACATATTTTCTGCCTTGCCACCTAGTCATTCTTCTTCTAACAGTTTGTCCAGAATCATTACTTGTAATTTGTGTGATTAATTGATTTGCAGTATTAGTATTAATATTTTCATGTGCATTATCTAATCTCATTATATTTGAAACTTTGTGCGAATGTTTTGAATGTGAATAGGCTTCATGAGATTTTCTTATATTCAAAATTTTGGCTACAATTGAAGAGCCATTAGTAAAAATATCTTCTTCAGGTTCTTTTTCAAGTACAAAATATGTATCAGTTGAAGGTTCATTGTTCAAAATGTATTGAATTTCCATTGAATGAACTAAATTATTTGAGTCATCTACAGATTCATCAGGTGTAAATTTAAAACAACTTGTACTTCTAACATTTAAAATATCCTTCCAATAATCACTTAGCATTCATACATAAGGTTGCTTGCTGAAACCTCTTAATGACTGCCAAAACTCTGCCGAAATTCTAATAAACAATTAGTGTGTAACCTGCTAAAACTCTGCTAATTGTCAAAATCCCTAAATGCGAAACTCTGCTGAAACTCTAACAAACAATTAGTGTGTTACCTGCCGAAACTCCACCGATTGATTTCCAGAGGAGTTTTGGCAAGCAACCATATTCATACATAAATCTTGTTGGAGTTGTAAATTTTCTTCTTCTGTTAATCTTGTATGAGAAAATGGATTACCTTCAAAAAATTTATTTGGAAGCAAAGTTTGAGCAGCTTTGATAATACTTTTGGAACCACCAAATCCAGATGGACTTTTCATTACATAATTTTTGATTT